GTACGTTTTGGACCTATGATATTATTCCTCTTTCTATGATAAGCGTTTGGTATTTTTTATCTTTTAATGGCCTTGGTGCTAACATTATTCCGAAGGTTGCAAACATTGTTTACCAATATTGTCAATAATATTAGATTATTCGCTAAATAAATTAATTATGAGCATTTTATCTGACTCATTGAGGCTGTAACACCGCTCTAGGAAATGAAGTATTGTGAGAGCTAGCTTGTTATAATCAGTAATTTGCCTTCAACCGGATTACATAATACAAAGTAATGGTGTGAACTTATACTGGAGTGGAGAGGTGGGAGGTGTTTTGCCTAAAGCTAGACAGAGACTAAAGAATCAGGTTATAGCATCACTTAACTTGCAAGATTGGTACTTATATTCTCATGTGACAAGCGAATCCATCATCTCTTAGTTGTAAATTTAAAGATGAGAAGGAGGGTACTCTATTTTTTCTAATGCTTTCAACTCAGTTTAAGTTGAAAAGCTTATATTTGCTAAGATTATCTGTCATCCGCCATCAGCTCTAAATTCACTTGCCGCAAATGTATATCAAAGGTAATACTAATTTGTCGCAATCTGTCAGTGATGAAGATGATATTCACATAGGTGACAGCTGAACTACACTCTTCTTTATATTAAGTTCATAAAGTTTACAAATATGTCGACGAAAGTCATTAGAATTCTCAATATCAACAGCAATCACCTTTCTTCCTCCCCCCCCCCTCCCCCATCCTAAGTAGAAAGCCTTCCATTCATTGCATTTCATCACTTTAGCACAAATTTCACTGGAAATGTGTTTTACAACTTGGGAAGTTCGAATTGACTACTTCAAAATGATTAACTCACCCTTCAAAAGTAGGTCTTGCCAGTGACGTAAAGAAACCTCCATTCCAAGGAAAACCAACACAAGAGGGAGACAATTTTTCGAAGACGAATCACCCGCGAAAACTCTTAGCATTGTTATCAGCTAACCCCTGCGATATTGTTATTAATTTCCGTAACTTACGGCTTTAAAATAACTTGAAGGCTTTTGTCATTTCTACAATATCAGTTATTAGCACCCAATTGCTATTTTAAGGGGGAGTTAAGCTCGCAGATGGGAAATATTTTCATTTTCGATTTCGCTAATTATAGGTTTCGCATAAAGTTATACATATATATCTATCAAATTACCTTCTTTCTACCCCCTAAGACCGATTTCAAGTCATGTACTAATCATCTAAATATCCGATAATGCAGGGTAAATGTGATTTCCAGATGGACATGTTTTGTTTTATTTTGTTTTTGAGCTTTAAAGAGTTTATGGACAAAGTAAACTCTTAATTTGGCCAAAGCCAAGTCATATTTCCTCCGAAATCGATTGCTAAACAATATGAAAACCCCTAATTTAATGCGAACTGAACGATATCAATTTATAGCCTCTCTCCAAAGCTTCTTATCCAATTCAACAAGAGTGCTACGTAACTACTCTTCTTAATTTTGAGCTGATGGATATGTGCATTTGTTTAATTATCCGAAATTCAGGAGGGCTGGATGAAATAATAAGAACATGTTTCCTTAAAATTAAGATTCAGAGCTAAATACTGCAAGTCAGAGTTGGCAAAGAATTAAAAAGTGCAATTTAACCCTTATAATAAACTAATTTAAAAAACACACCTGTTGCCCATTTGTATTTCCGACCCGATCGTTGCAGAAATCGACCGATTATTTCAACTTAATAATTCCCTACTGTTCAAGAATTGCTATTGGTCACTTATCTATTACATTTTAACCGTTAGAAAAATGCTGTGTTACTTCTAAAATTTGCGCGAAATTAATAATACCACGATCATCTTAACGACATTTTCGTGAAATTTGAGATAAAATAATGATCGGAGTCTAAAAGGAATTACAACATATACGATCAAGGCAACTTTACTACCCGTGTGCCCTAAAATTTCAAGGATAATTTTAATCGCAAAGTTGAGACTTTACTTTGTTTTACTTTATAGGGATATAAAAGGTTCGAAAAAATTTGAAATCCAAGGTTCACTTAACCAGTTTTTGATGTGATATGCATTAGATGTTAGTCCGTTGACCACTGCATTGGTTGAAATTTTAAGGCTGGTAACAGTCGATCTATTTTGATGACCAATGGGGCTAGAAACGGTTCACCAAGGGACTATGTGTTTCTGAATTTGAGATTGAAGATGATCTTCCATTAGTCGTGACTGAAGAAAAAATTAAAAATTGATTTTTAATTTTTAGTGTGTATCCAAAAACAAATAAAAACCTTAAATCAACATTTTGAAAATTCAACCATGGAAAGTTCGAGGAATTAAATTTTAATAAGATTATAACCATACTGCTCAAATTCTCGACTTTTGAAAACGACTTTTTGAACTTTTATATTCCGATTTTCGATAAATTACAACTTTCCGACCTCTAAAGTAAAAACTCTCCCAAAACAAATCAACGAGATTAACAAAATGACTTTCACTAGACCTGTAACGGAAGTGTAATAGCTAATTACTCCAAGATCATTCCCACTTGCCAGTGCACACGTAGTCATGCTTCAAGCGAAAAATACAGCGATTATCGGTATTAGTTCAGTTGTGGTGTTTCACATATTCCAGTTAACTAATTTCTTGCGCGAATACAAACTCTGTTACGGTTGTTTGAAGTATTGATTAAAAATTCCTAGTTAAGAAGACTGAAGTCATTAGTCATTTTGAACAGCCACGCTACTCAACAGTCTAAAATTTTGTTATTCCACATTTTGGTAGATAAAATGGAATTTCAAACTCAGTTCGAAATTTATACTAAATCACTCACTTTCAGAGAGATCATGTGATGTCATTTATAAAAGAAATAAGCTTTCACCACTATATATGCAAGAAAACAGTTCGTTCTTAAAAAAATTGACACGCTCGTGAAAACTTGGATAGGATTATTTGGAAACGACGACATTTTTGATTCCCTTCCCATAAAGTAAAATTTGACGTTTTGCATATCAAATCATTTTTCCGATTGCATTTATTTCTATTTTCAGGAACATTTTTAGTACAAATTTTCTTAAAAAATTTTACTAATACCATTTCCTTGATTGAAATATCCCTTAAGTCACCTTTTTTCCATCTATGAATGACTAATTAATTAGTCCTATTCAAGACTGAGAACATCGGTAGAATTAAATTGATAAATATCTGGCAATGTAGGGATTTAATCACAAAACGGGAATTGGCAAATTGGAAATCACTTCTGAAATACAGTGCCAAAGAACAAACTGAACTCTAGCCCTATAGATTAAATTAGTTTGTACCAAAATATCTGTAAATGACTATTATTTTCTCCCAGTGAAGCTAAAAAATTTGTTTATGACGCCGTTAACCGTTGCTCGTGTATATAAATGTTTTCCCTTCCACAACCATACCCACCTTGATGTTAAACCGACGAACAAGATACAAACTCTTAATAGCAGCAGAAGATCCATGAGAATTGCTTGAGTAGGTTTTGAAATTCAACGTACTATTTGTTTACTGCCACAAAATTTCATTTCAAATCAAGTATTTCACATATTGCAATAGCTAGAATGAACATGATTTATTTTCAATGGAAATTAAAAGATTCTCGTGGGCATTCAAAGACAAGCTAATAATTATCACTTAAGGAATTACATGTATTTTTATAAGTAAAGCTTTATGGTGAGTGATTTAGTGAACATAAGTTAGAAAGCGAACAACGGCAGCACACTGTGATAGTAATTATGAAAACAGAAAAAGATGATAAATTCGGATGAAATTTATTTAAAGTTAGTGACGATAATCCTACATCAACCAACATGTAAAGACCATCTAATTGAAATTTACATATTCTTTCAAAGTCTCCAAATGTTCAAACATTAACATCTCGTAATTAAACATTGATAATAATTTGTCCTTAAGAATTTAAGATGATTGAAATTTACGAGAAGTACTTCCATCGAAGATTGGTAGTAAAATATTATTCAAAAAAATATTTTACATTTAGTTTTGAGACCCTGGAACCATAATGCAACTTTATAATAAAAGTATAACAAAATAAATCCTCAAATTGACATATTCTGATAAACAGACTGCGATAGCAGAGACTAAATATTAATAATAGGTATGGCTACTCAGCAAGGGAAGTAGCTAACAGGTTGTCGAGATAGACCTACATCTATATTAATTATTGTAAATCATATTTAATGTCATTAACTTAGCTTGTGTAATTTTTAATGCAGATTAAAATATTATTTATGTGCATTAGAACGGATTGAGTTGAGTAAAATATTGTTTAAAAATCTTAAAACTTAATTGCATCCCTGTGGTTACAAAAAATATATGGGGTACAAAACAATTTTATCAAGTTCCCGGAGACCCATCATTCACAGAGTGTTTAATCTAAGTACAAAAACAGCAGTAAATGAAGAAGGCATACATTATTTTCCTGTGCACTTCTGAACGAAAATTTTTTAAAAATAAGTGTTGCTATGGAGCAATTTGCGTATGGGGGAAAGTAAAACGATTATTTGTGATACTTCACATAAGAAAATAGAAGTAAAAGAAGTTCTTTGACCGACCAAAGCGCTGTATTTTGAATCAAGTAAACAACTTTCCTAATTTTAAAATATAAATAAACATCTGCTATGGTGCAAGTTTACTCAATCACAACTTAATAGATAAAATATGCACCTATTCAATCAAAATAATTCGACTATACAAGCTTTCAACATACAATGACTAGTTCTTATCAATCGATTTTCAGCATGAAATTTGAATATAGCTATGAATACTTAGATCACATTGATCTACATGCTCACGCGTGTGTAAAACTACCATTAACTTTTACAAATTTTTCAAATTATTATGAAATATTCACAATTCTTTTTAAATAGAGAATGAAAGTTTAGGAAATCGTACTATTGTATATTGGCAAATCTTGCGTAACTGTGTAAATTGTTTTAAACGCTCATCACATTTGGTGATAGAATGGATAACTGTGCTGAGATTGATCTTTATGATAATATAGAAGAAGATTTTGTTCAAGTATGAGTAATCCGAAAAATAATTAATATTTTTAAGGAAACAAACGAATCAAGTGAACTGTACGATGATATAGCTCCGCCTGCTCCAAAAGTCGAAAGCACTAAATCCGAAACAAAAGTAAACAAATATAATAAATAAACGATGTTCTTAGGTGCAGCCTACTTTTTCATCAAATCAAGCATCGCACACAGGAAAACGTTATTCCACCTATCTGGGAAATTTGACATGGGTAGGTTTCGCCTTTCACTTTTCTACTCTCCAACTAGTGGACGACTGATGTCGATATTACTGAAGCTTTTAATGGCATTGGGATTCGTGATATTCTCGAAATCAAATTCCATGAAAACCGTACAAATGGACAATCGAAGGGGTTTTGCATCGTGGTTTTTAGTTCTGAAGCCTCGGTCAAGTTGGGAATGGATAAAATTAAAACTATTCAAATACATGGCAATACTCCCGTACTGACACTTTGCACTAAGCAAGCTTTAGCCCAATTTGAAAAGAATGCGTGCACAGATACTGCATTTTCCAATTCCACAGGTACCGGTCTTCTTGGAGCGTCCTCCAACATTCGCTCTGCTTCTAGTAAGGCTATTTAATTGAAAGCTTATTGATTTTTTAGGTAATGGGCGTCTACCTCCACCATTAATGAGTACACCAGCACTTGCTCCAGCTCAACTTGGATTTAGCGTGAACAGAAGCTCGTCCCTTATGGGAAGAGCTACATCTAATCGTGATGCATTACTTCATTTAAATATTCCTAACATTCCTCCAGGTATTCAAAGTAAGACATTTTATTTTGCATTGACCGCTCTATCTAGACTTACTTATGCCTGGGTTTAATATGCCTCCATCCTTATCAAACAGCGGTACTGGTCTTATACAAAATCCTAATATCCTTCCGGGTGCAACTGGATCGAATGCCCACATTAATCCCAATTTCCTTAATCAGACCCCTAACCAGGTCCTTCAAGTTCAACTTGGGAGTGGAATGATGCGATCTGATCAGTTTAGTAATTCCATTATGCAGAATTATCATTCTAGTAAGTGGTTTTTTGTGTATTCTATTTCCTACTTACTCTAGCCCAATCCTCAAACATAAGCGATGTTGAATTTGAGACAATAATGGAAAAGAATAGGACTGTTGCGTCTACAGCGATCAACCGAGCACTTCAAGATACCGCTGTCGGGAACCATTCTAGAGCTATTGAGACCCTTGTTACCGCCATAGCACTTATTGGTCAATCTAAGATCGCTAATGACGACCGCTGTAAGATGCTGATCAATTCTCTTAAGGATACCAAGCACAGCATTGAGGACCAATCTTATTCCTCAAAGTAAGTTCGAATGTGATCTCTTTTTTTATGACATTGCCAATGATTTGATGCTATATGTATTGTAAGGATGATGTTTTTGTATTGATATAGATTTTCTTTTGTTCTTTATTTAATTGCATTAATACAAAATTGAGCTACACTTATAAATATTTTTTTGTTCTTATACCTCCTTGTGTGGTCGTATCTGCCAATATTAAAATCAATTGATGCTTGATGCAATTTTTCCGCTCTTTGATGTTATATTCGCTTAAGTATTTTTTGTCCCACATGTTTTTAATAATATTTTAACTTTTTTCGAAAGTTACCAACGGGGCGATAGAAAACACACATTCAGAGCTAAGTTAAAGATGGCTAAGAACTTTTAGTTAGCTAAAATTAAACTCGATAATTATTCATTTTGCTCATGGGAACTGCCGTTATTCTGATTGTATGGGAACGAAATTGGGATCAAGCAAGTCGAACCTTTGTTTCTTCAGCTCACACAAAGAGCCTTAATTATACTCATTTTGATTTCATCATTTATATTAGGTAAGCTTACTGAACTCTATTAATTATAATTTTTTTTCCCCTATTGGCTAAGAAAATTTGCTAAATCTTACCATTTGTTTGGTTTACTGAAATCTTTTATAATGATTTAAAGTGGGTATTTTCCAATATACCCGGACTATATTTCTGGCAATGTTGTTACGCTAGTTACCTAAACTAGTTATTGTTTATGAAAGGCATTGCCTCAGAGTAACCTGCAGTGATTTGGTCCATCTAATTCTTAAATCAGCTTATTAGATTATACTGCTAACCAATAGTCTGAATAACTTGAGGCTCACTTCAGTACCATTTAATTACTTGTCTCTATCTGTCATACCAGAGGTTGTAGAAGTGATTGAATATAGTAATTAGTCAATTTTTGGTATGTCTACAAAAGTTGATATAACTATTGGGGGGGGGGGTGTTTTTGCTTAGAGTCTTGTTATTTTGATGTTCCTATATAGATAATCTACCCTCCCCCAAGAAAAAAGTTTATGACTTAAAAGTTCTTGAGTTTATAGTTTATTGAAAGTTAGACAGAACAAATTCGCTATCTTTGTATTTGTAATACTCGTACATTTTTTAATTCCAGTATCATTCTTAAGCACATTTTCTACAGTCTTACTTTCTACTCCCCGGACACTTCTGTGCATGCATTGTATATATTTCCGATAATTGTGTAACGAACTATCCTATGTGTACAACCTTATTGCTTTGTAAACTGGTAGTATTTTCCTTCCCCCACCTTCCCCATTGTGTGTAAATGCCACCCCCAACTGTTGTGTGCAGACGTATGTGTAATTTAATTACTTTCAGGAGTCGTGGAAGTAGACATCGACGAAGATCCTACAGTCGAAGTGGTAGTGAAGGCGATTATGGCGAGGATGAAGACTACAGAGGTGGAAGTAGCCGAAGACGCCACCGAAGATCACGACCAAGATCTCGTTCACGCACACCGCGTGGAAGAGACAGTGACAGACATCGTCATTCATCCAGCAACAATGGTGGCAGCGGCGGCGGTGATCGTGACTACTACAATAGTGGCAGTGGAAACTCACCATCTTATCGTTATCGTCAATAGAAAAACTTGCCGCATTTTTTCTATGTAAAAGTGTGTTATGTGTGTTTACTACTTGCACTAATTCTCTCCCTCAGCGCTCCGTTGTGTAAGTCGCAACTCTTCTCTATCTCTATGTTGGCATTTATAAACTCTAATAACTGCTGCTTCATGTAAAGCATCTGTTTTGTTACATCTCTACTTGTAAAAGCAGTCTGTATTTTGTACACAAATTTGACAAGAATAAAGTGATCCAAAGCTTTTGCTCGCCCTCCCCTTTCCACATCTCCCGCAGGATTATTGTACTTCCCAAAATGCTTTTATGCGATTTTTATCTTATTTCTTGTTTTGTAGATCTTATCGACATCAAGTTTCTCCTGCTCCTAACTTCCGATCGCAACCATCGCCTCTTGTGTACTGCATTTTCGAGATAATAAAGTTCGTAGAAAGTAATAAGTCTTGCCTTCTTTCTTCAAACAATTTGCTTGCTAGATAAGAGAGTTTAACGACATGATTGCTCAACATTCACACCTATCGAATTTGGAATTGTTAAATAGAGTTTCAAGCATATTTGTCTAAACCAGTAGAGATAAGATTTTCTTGTTCAAGAGATTTCTGGTGCTATCCATGATGAACATTAGAGTGAATTTCCTAACAAGTCGAAAGCCTACTTTGACATTCTTCACGGTTGCACATGTGTAAATAATTTTAATCATCTGCTCAATTATGAGGTTGATATGTACGGCTGAAGGACATACGTAGGACACTTGAAAAGTCCTCGGCACCGATGCCAGTTGGAATGTGTAATCTCTCACATTCAACCATCGTTAATATTTAAACAATTGAATGGCAGATTCCTTTCACAAATCCATCACTTTTCCAATTTAGTATCAACTTTTGTATGCATATCGGTTATCACCACAGTAAAATTAAGCCGTTTCATTTTTTTGGTCTCGGAAAACAATACCAAGAGGATAGTAGTAAAAACTAAAAGTAGTTTACTTGACCTTTTGACTCCGATTTTCCACATCTTACTCTACTGCTTCAAGCTCTGGGTTCTTTGAATCCACGCTGGAAATGTTCAGATCTTACTGTCCAATCGATTATTTTGAATGGCAGGAAATTCCAATTACAATTTTTCTGCTAGATAGCTTGCAATTTAAACAACACAAAGTAAATTCCAAACATAATTGATCAGTAATAATACACCTATATGTCAGTACAAATACATGGAGTAAGAGAGCAAACCGACCTTACAATAAAAAAGGAAATTTAGGTATTGGCCTCAGAAGCAGTGATTGTGAAATGACTAGGTGTGGATTCCTCAGTATCGTAATCCTCAAACCACGTGAGAGATTCATTCGTTTCAGGAAGACTAAAGAGATCTCGGACAAGGGCGTAGAGATAGGATGGTGCGGCTCCATTGTCTGAGGTGAGAAAGAGAGTAGTCAAGCCGGGTTTAATGTAATCCCAAGTGGGTACGTGAACTTGTGGTGGAGGACCCGTGCAGCATTTTCTAGACACCGAGGGGGGTAACATTTTGTAAGTTGATTCAAGACCGTTTAGCGAAAGATCAACAATGCCCCTAGAATCTTTCAATGAACCCGGATAGCATTCGGCATGAACGTTAAGGGCGTTCGAACATCCAGGCAACATTTGTAGATTCAGAGGTGAAATTAGGATCGAGGGGAGGCAAACGTAAATCTGAAAAGGAGCATGGTGACTAATTAATAAAAGCATCAATTGGTCAACAGGTACCAACATCAATAAAAACTTACAGGAACTGTGAAGCTTTGAGCAGCAAGCATTATTGCTTCTGAACCAGTTGGAGCTTTAAGAGCACCGTCAGGGTAAACTGCATAGCAACTCAAGATAACTTTATTAACTCGGGCCATTAGAGCAAAGACGTGGCTATCAGGAGCAAGAATAACAGATATGTCATCAGAAGCCAACTCATTGGCCATTTTATGACCTCCATTGTCAGGAAAGCCTTCACAAACAATAACACGAAATTGGCGATTCTTTGACGCGGCGTACTAAGATAATTGGTTTTATCTGTGTGTATTTACCTTCAAAAAATCGAGAACGAGTTTTGAATAGCCCACAGTAAGAATTAGTTCATCCGAATGAATAAAATTCAATGAAGAACATGCAATACTTCCGTGTTGGCTTTTGATGTCATCATCCAAGTCGTTAAAGCCTTCCATGACACCGTCAATTAATTCCTCTCTAGCAATGAAGGACAAGTCAACTTCACCTTCATCAACCGTAACCATCTACCATAAAAAATAATGTTAGAAACATTAGTACCAGTTGATGCTGCTTTTGGGAGGAAATTGACCTCGGATTAATGTTCGCTATTACATCCTTAACTATTTTTATGATCCTCTGAATGGTATTATGCGTCGGAACATTCTCAAAGGAATTAGCTAATAAGATTTTTCCAGTACGCTTTAGAAGCGAAAGAAGTTGCCTAAAAATGTAAAATACACATCGAACATACGCCGCATCTTTCCAGTTTTCAGAAAGAATGACTTGTTTTAGGTAGCCCAATGTATTCAAAGCAACAGTCGTTGGATTTTGCCTAAATAATAAAAATATGCGCACAAACTTACGCCTCGTCATTCACTGTTGCACATTTATTGATATGTATATCAATTGAGCAATTGTATTTACCGCTTTTTCTAAAACTCGCATAAATATTAAAATAGTAAATACTTTTTGCGGCCAATAGAAAAGTTGTCAATACTAGCGTCCGACGAGCACATTTAGAAATAGAACCAATGCCCTAATAATATTAAAAGCAATAATCAAAATCTAGCTCATTAAAAGCGCGGAATATTTACTTAAAAATTTCTAAAAAGCCATTTTAAAATTAAAATTTATTAAAATATTTATTTCAAATGGCAGGCGTTTTAATAACTATCATAAGCCATTTAGTTGACTTTGGGCTTCACAGAGGGAAGGTTCATCAAATTAGAAGAAAGTCGGGGTGTGGGGAACAGAGGGGCGATTCACAGAAGCAAAAGAGATAGACAGGCACAAAGGTAGAGAAAAGGGTAGGGTGAGTACTGTGAAAGTGGTAGAATATGACATACATTGGGATGATGATAGTTTGAAGTCAGAAATCAACTGCTAGTCTATCGCACACCACAATTATTATGATATTTATTATTCATTTCAAATCACAGGCGTTTCGATAGCTATCATTAGCCAATTAGCTTACTTCGGGCTTCACAGAGGTAAGGTTCATCAAATTAGAAGAATGTCGAGGGGTGGGAAACAGAAGAGCGATTCACAGATGTAAAAGGGGCAGACAGACACAAAGGCAGAGAAAAAGGTAAGATGAGTACTGTGGAAGCGGTCGAATATGACAAGCAGTTGTGCCATGGTATTTTGAGGTCAGAAGTCAACTGCCGGTTAATAAACTTTTTGCCGTATGAGTATACGTTGCCCAGGGTGCACCATGTGGAGGTAAGTCTGTCGCACACCCCATAGTTGAATAGTAATTAGTTAGAGAACACAATACATTAATAGGAATACATGAATACCATAGGCACAGGATTGTGATGTTGCAATCCGGTACGACTCACCCTCGGCCGTTAGCTACATAATTGAAATGTAAACACAAATGATTAGGTGGCTTCTGATTGCAAATAGAGTGAATTGTTCGCTTTAACTGAGATCGCCAATATTTCCACTTGCATGGAAAATAAACAAAGCACTCCTTCCAAAATATGGCTGAAAAGCAGCCAATAGTTGATTGCAAATCACTACTTATTTAAAGTAAGTAGACTAAGAAACTAATGGGGCACCCTCACTCCGTAAGAAAAGGACACTCGGTGAAATAGTAAATTTATCGAGTAAATGTAACGTTCTTAATTCCAATCATTTTAAGGTAGCAAGTTCACTGTGATCCATTTCAATAAAAAATTATCCATAACACTGCTTATAGGTGCGTGCATTTTCGCCCTTATTCATTAAAATTGAAAAGAATAAAAGACCCAAAGCAAGTTAACACAAAAGGAAACAAGAAATACAATTCAGAATTAACATATATTCACAGATAGAGAGGCATGTACAACATGGAAATAGGATATAAATAAGAATGCAATGCCAAACAGTGTATAAAAGGCTCACTTATATACAGGGGACCATAAATTGCAAAATGCATCTATTTTTCGTTATTGGGTGAGTTACTAACTCTCCTGCAACTTGACGCACTGTCACTATCGCTCTCACTTTCACTACTACTGCTGCTGCTGCTGCTGGAGGATGATGAGCTTTTAGAACTACTTCCCGCACTGAAACTCCTACTTTCAGAGCCTGATGATGAAGAGCTGTTAGAAGATGCACTTCCAGAACTATTTGAGGAGCTTGAACTGGTTCCAGAAGCTGAAGACCCGGAAGAAGATTGAGAAGATGTTTCATTATCTGACGAACTACTGGATGACTCTGAGGAAGGATCTCGTTTTGCTTTCCTATTTTTAAAATATTACGAAAAATTAAGAATAAATAAAGCTTACCTTGAAGCATTATTGACTCGCCGATTAAGTTTGGCAGTACGAGACTCTCGCTCGAGGTACTTTCTTTTGCCCTTGCATTCATAAGTCCAATGACCATCCTGCAGGCACTTTTGACAAAATTTTTTAGTTTCACTCTCCTTCCTTTAGCAAATAATAAAAGACAGTTATTTAATAAAAAAAACAACGTTGCAAACAATAATGAAAAAAACATACTTTTTATTGTAAAATGCAGGTAATTTTGGATTATCCATTTCAACACATTCACTTCTACAAAAAGACATTATAAGATAAATGTCAATAAAATAACTCGGAAATGTTCAAATGAAAAAAGCATGTGTTAATGAAAATTCACAAGACAGAGTACCTACCAAAAAGAAACACGAGCCCAAAATCGCTATCGTCGCTGAAAGTTTGGTGTGATTAAACAAATGTTGGATTAAAGTAAACGTTGTCAACTAATTTATAAAGTTGTGACTGTTCGAAGATTTTTAAATTGTATTTTAATTCAACTTGTCATTTTGTCAGTACTAAATTACCATTCAATTTTGACTGTGAAACGAAGGCGAATATAAATTTTTCATAAATATTAATCCAAAACAATATGTTATATATATTTTTAATTAGACATTTGTTAATAAGTCTCGTGAGTGGATCAGCAAAATCTATGTGTACAAATTTTTTGCTTTTACATTTTTCATCGCATGGAATATTCTGTAATAACTAACTAACTAAAGCTAGCTAAAGCCAAGTTGAGAACAAATTTCATAAGTGTAAACGGGAAAAGTATAATATCAAATATAAGTTTCGAGTATGGTGCTTAGCAAAATGTTGCACTTCTGCTTGGCTCCTGAATCCTTAGTATGCTCGTGGAACACTAGAGTGAGTTACCATGACTTAATTTGCATGACATAATTGTATTAGTTAAAATATCACTTTCCTAGTATTTCCAAAGACTTATTTTGCAACTCTGCGTTTTTTCCAAAATTATTGCCATGTGACAACTGGCTATAAAGGGAAATATAGCAAAAGTAGTAAATATCATAAAGCCTTTTCTGTTTCGTTTTTGCAGGTTCTTCTACTTCTAAAGCACAATTCTTAATTTTCTTTGCTTGCGACTGGAGAGGTGATTACTTAACATTTTATAAATTAACAGCGTATAAAACCACTTGACGCAAAATGTCTTTCAAATAAAATGCTGATCCATGACTGGCCAAATATGACAAATTAAAGGTGTAAAGTACATAAGTCGCTTTAGTGTCTGTACTAAAATTGTTGCAAATGTTTTCCATAGCCATCAGACCCAAATTTTAGCAGAAACTAATTCAAAAATACTCAATTTCTATTATTTTAAGCAGATATAACATAATTTGCCTTTAAAGTGAAGAAATAACTATCTATTTGCTAAACCGAAAAGGAAGGTTTAACCACAGTGATAAGTAAACAGGCCTACATAATTACTAAATGAAAATTTATATCTACTTTAATTAAGTGCTTAACAAAAGGATTTTTTGCATTTTTTTAGTTTTGCTTTAAAATTGATGCATTTTTATTCTATTGCAGTTAAAGCTATAGAATACAAGTACTATAAAAACTAATTAAAAAGGATAATTATTTCAAATAGTGTACTTGATGTATCTTAGCAAAGAAGCAAATTCTTTTTGATTTTATTCCAGTTTCAATTTGCCCAGCGCATAATTCACCATCATCATCTTCTCAACGGTTAAACTGCAACCGTATTGAATCTCTCTCTCTCTCCCTCTCCCTCTCCCTCTTGCTCACGTGCCACAAATTTATTTCATTGTTGAATTTTCAAATTTGATAAAAATTAAATGAAGCAAGTATCTCGCGAAACCCGCGTATTACCCGATTAAATTTGCATGCCTAAATTCAAAGGAGATATAGTTACGGAGAATTGTGAGGGGTTAAAGTTGATGTAAATTAGTGCCTCTATTTAAAGCCTATTATCTAAATAATATAGCAATGTTTTAACCCTTGCAATGTAAATTTAAGCATAGAAATTGAACTAAGTTAGGGATAGCAATTATGTATCCAAATATGTATGGTGCTTACTGTCAAGAAAATGGTATGAATTGAGGCTTCGATAGGGATTGAGGGGTTTTGGGTGGAGCATTTTGTCATATCATTCACAGAATGTAAACTGCTGATTTCAAATTGATTATCCGATTTAAATGATCCAATAGGATTAATTTTTTTATACGTTGGGGCTCTTAACGAACGCGTTCAAATCCTTATCTTCAACTAAAATTCATATTCCGTTTCAGGCCAGATAGATAATAAAACTTATGAGGAATTTCCAAATAAAATTCCTCATTCCAATTCAGTGCTATAGTACTAAGCCAACGTAAATAAAATATCCCATGATAGATGAATTGCGCTTATTGTTCTCAGTACAGTATTGTGGGACACGTTTCGCTCTATGCGTCATCGTATGCCTGCATGTCTGCTCGCCAGGATTGGGAGGTGCGGCCGTACAACTCTGTGTGCAGCGACCGTACAAACAGTGACCAATCATCAACCTCTGTTTAACCTAATCCCCCATCCTGATCATGAGTAGCTCCCTGCGTGCACCCTTTATCCGCAATACCCGCATTGAATAAACGTGCTCCATGCTACACGTCTGGTTCCTTTATAGCTGGGCTATAGCTTATCTGGTTCTGGGAGTCTAGCTAGATGTTGGAGAAACTGCCACAGAGATCTCTGAGTCAGTCAGGCTTTAATAAAGT